GGACAAAACAAGTAGAAATTTGAGTTCTGATTATTTTTCTATCGTTTATATCTCTCAAATTAGTTAGAATAATATTCAGAGTTCCTTGCTCATACCAGCGTGGTCTGGCCTATTGTGGATCGTTTAACTCTCATTTAAACCTCCTCTACGGGATATTTTTTCCGTGATCAACATATTGTGGAATAGCGTCATGTTAAATATGATAAGTAGGGTTATTAGTTCCCCTGTCGATTTACCGAAGCCACTTTACGAACTATGCGTCTCTATGTTAGGAGTCTTAACAACTTATCATAATGTAAGAAAAACTTCCAAGATTTCTAAAGTATCAATTTAATTTTGGGATATGACATTCTCCTTAAATCATTCGAATTCACCCCCTGTCAATCTATTGTAACTCTTTTGAGAATGAATCAATTATTTGCGGCCTAGTTTGTACGAGAAAACTTCATATACCTATAACCTATATGAAATTCGATACTTTCTTTCTTCACTTTGAATGCCAATCATTCTACTTCTTAATCATTTCGCTAACGTCTCATCATTTTCTGAGTTGAGCTTATTGGATTTTTGTCTGCGCAAAAATAGTGATTAAATTGCTAAGATTTATGTGGAATTATCTCAAATGCTTGCACATTTCATTCAATCATGCCGTCAGCTATAAAAATATCAGTGTTTGAAACGGCAGTTCATCGTCGGCGAATCAAGTTCTGCATCGGAGACACTGTATAGCTGGTTTTGCTTGCACGATCTGGCTTCGCGCTATATGGTTTCACTTTATCGTGTGATGTTTATGCAAGAAATTAACTTCATCGAATTCGTTTGTGTTACTCTTAGTACCAATTAACGCTTTAGAATACTGTGCCTCCAAATTCTCTTCACCAGATTTTTCAGGGAAGCCAAGGAGAACTAATGCTTATACTTGTAGTGGTAGTGTTCGCGCTTCTTGCAGAAGTTAATTCTCAAGCAAGAGATGGAGCAGCAACAGGAGGCAGGTAATAAGAATTTTCAACAATTTGCAAAATAAAAATGCGTTTATTAGTTCTTTCAAACCCATTTCACACTTAATATTGAAAATGACGTCATTGTATGAGAGTTTAAGAAGTTGTCAATTAGAAACAATTAGTTATTAGAAACTGCAAGAGCACGTCATAAGAATGTATGTCATATCGGCAAGTTCGCCTGCCTTGTTATGATAAAAAATGCTTTCAGAGTAAAGACCAAAAGAGTGATGACGTATGGGTCTGATAGCGTTATACTGAACTAGGCTGAGAATTCTGATCTTAGTACTGACTTTCTGTTACAGAGCTCGTCAGTTAAGCCAAGCACGAATATTTGATTTGCCGAAATTTGCTCCTACTGCTCGGATAATCAAACTATCTACGTTGCTTCGCAAAGGAAAGCAAAAGGAAGACGATGATCTTTTGAGAGATGCTGTGAGTGCTTCGGATTCAAATATGCTTTGTACTTTACTGGTTCAATCTACACGTCTGAAACAAGCTGGAATACTCTAAATATGCCCATAAAAATTATCTAGGGATTACTACCTAATCTCCCCCTAAATTGCCTTTATTCTCATATTTTCTTCGATAATGTGATGCATAATATACTGCAAAATAGAGATAATGGAATCTTAACTCATTTAAGCCAAAGTGTTCATTCAGATTTAAATTTGCTATTACTTTTCATATCATTCAACCGTGTGTACATACACAGCGCTCCAAGAAATGTACTCTGTTTGGAAATCTGAGATAAGCTAGTCCTTTGATGATTAATTGAAACCTAGAAAAGAACTGGTGAAAGCTTGGTAATGGTCAACAACTGGGCACATTTTGTGCATAGTTGAGGTTAGGTTTTTTTTAAAGTGTTTTAGCGTGGTGTACATAACTTATAGACTGAAATGATTATTCCAATAAATCATGTGTGCATTAAATATATAGAGATTGTTGAAAACTGGACTTACAAATCTTACTTCTCTGCGTCCGCAGCTATCTTTATATTTCGATAAGGTTCTAGTACATACATTGTAAAAGAAAAAACTTGTTTTAAAGTTATTGAGCTTATATATTTGAATTTGTTCAAATGCTTCAACTATGATACTTTCTGACTTCAATTGTGACGTTTTTCTTCTACTGGAAGATGTTTTCTGAGGTTTATCAGTAAGATCATTGTTGTATACAACATTGCCTTTTCATGAAATGATATGCTTATTGTTTCAGGCAGGATCTTTTGACAATTTCGAAGCTTTCGACTTAGAGTTGGAACCGTCATCAGGAGAGACAAAGTCTCAACGAAAACAGCACAAAACAAGCCATCATGCGAAAGGGAATAAAAAAGAAGAAATCGGCAATTTTTTCCCAGAAAGGCAGTAGGATAGACTTTGAATACCTAAAGCTAGAGTGTAGATACAGCTTTCATTTTCTCGTCCACATATGTTTTATTGCCCTTTGTATTGTATAATTCAGGAGTTATAATAGCTAATATAAAATTAATTGTCAATTAGAGGAAGTTTATAGTTATGATATTGTAACCGTTCAACTCGAATCTAAGTGTACCAATCATAAAATTTTCAATTTTAAGAAAGTCAAAGTGATGTTGCTTCAACTAATCAAAGGCTAAATTTTATTAGACATTAAAGAACTAATAAACTATTTGTGGATCCGCTTATTGCACGAGGAGTAATAAATTTATAGGATGATCCATTAACAAATGCCGAAATCTAACACATTACATTTTCGAGCGAGTCAGCCAAGGATGCGCTTGAGCTTTCCGTTCAGAGTCTGTTGAGATGATAACATTTATAAGACTTGGACCATTTTTCTTCTCAAACGCCTAGAAAAGCATAAATTACGTAGTATTTCAATTTTCATAGATTACTGCAGACTAAAGCTCACCTTAGACAAGGCGTGCTTGATCTCAGGCACAG